TCACATGTGCCATCACTCATGTGATTAGCTTGTAAGGCACCTATGACTAGCAGATCCCTTTATACTATTTGGAGATTATGACATTGTGGCCTAGTATGTCTAAAGTCGATGAGTTAAGTGAATTATTACAAGATATTACTTTATTATATCAGAAGAAGTTCTGACGAATATAACTTATGGTCAGCTCAGTATTACGGCTAGAGGGTCACACACATATGGTGGATGACGCGACGAATAGAGAATTAGATATGTGATATCTAATAAGCCACTATTTTATTGGATCCGTTGAGTGAGTTATTATAAGAACTTAGAATAAATAATTGGATAGAGATCCAATTTTCATTAAGCTAGGGATAATTGGATGGAGATTTAGTATCTGATATGCTAGCGTAATTAGATAGAGATTCAATACCCAATAGGACATGATCAGTTAGGGTTAACAAAGAGGGCTTTCTATAAAAAAGGATATAAGACTAAAATGGTTATAAGACTAGAACCTTTAGTCGCTACCTCCAAGACTTCTCTCTTTATTTCTTCCTCAATCGACTGCCCCCTCTCTAGTGTGAGAGAGAAGCAAGAAGGACTGCCCCTACTGCATGGTGGTGGTGTGCGAAAGCGAGGAAAGAATGTGTCTAGAGAGGAGAACGCAAGATCTCCTTTATCCATAGACTAGATCTATAGATCAAGGATATATGAGTTCCTTTAGGTGAGAACATCTCACGAATCTTATGCAGTTTTTTATTTCATGAGTTTTTCGCTCCCAATCATCATGTATGATATAATAAAAATCTATTTTTGGGAAACCATTTTCTATTCTATTTTTTTTGTTATGCATGTGATGCTCTCCCAGATTTCCCAATATGTTCAAGTGGTGTTGGCCATATTTGGGTCGATTCTCGATATGTCTCTTGGCGACTATGCAAACAATTCGGGATAGGCCTTGTCCAGATGTGTCTCGATCAGTGACTCCATCAACTCTAGATGTAGGAGGGACTAACCAAAATTTCGAGAGTTTGTCGGCGATGCCTTAGGTTGGACCTTTTTGGATATGGCAACTATTGTCTGATAGCACTAGTGAGACTCCCTCATATTACCTCTCAACTCCCCAATGTTGATCCTTGTTCAAAATTTTATCACCATGTAATATGCCGAAACCACTGCCCTCAGCATATTGAGTTGTGGGTCGACCTAAGATGGCATTGTACATAAGGGGATATCAACTACAATGAATTTAGTTATCACTATTTTGGAGCAAAGCTCATCTCCAAACATGATGTGTAGGCTCATAGTTCCAAGAGAGGATATGGAGTTACCAATGAACCTTGTCAACGAAGAAGTCATAAGGGTGAGATCATTAGTCAAGAGCTCAAGTTTTTCAAAAACCTCAAAATAAAGGATATCGATAAAGCTACCTATGTCGATCATAACCCTCTTTACTTGGGGATTAATCATTCTTATAGAGACCATCAAGGCATCGCTATGGTTTAGGTCGAGGTACTCTATCTCTTTTTCCTTGAAGGTTATTTTCAAGTTGTCTTCTCATCTTGAGCACTTTTCAATGATAGCTTGGGCGTAGGCTTTATAACTCGATAAGATGTCTCCTCCTGAGGTAGGTCTACCGACGATGACGTCGATCTGCCTCTCTATGGCTCCTAAAGTCGGGGCGAAGATTCTGGATGCCTCTAGATTAACCTCTCAAGGTGTCCCCAACAAATGAGTTCTTCGATTTGTTCTTTCAAATCGCGATAGTCCTCTATGCCATGGCCATAATCGTGATGGAAATAACAACACTTGGATTTATCTCTCGTCTCCAATAGTGTCTTCGATAGTTACAAAAATTTTAATAATCATTTTTCCTTTATCTATAAGAAGACTTCAGTACTAGTCATGTTCAAGGTAGTCGACTCAAACCTCGGGTGGGGCAACTTTGGTCAATCATGTTTTCTTCACCGTGATGACCTTGGTGTCAAGGTTGATGGTGATTACTCTTGTCTTGGCCTCTTATGCGTCTCCTTGTGCTTACATAAGACCATTATCTCCATAATTATGTATTGGTTAGCCCTTTAAATCACATCAGGTACCATCGTCGGTAGCCTATCTACCAATAATAAAAAAAGGCGAGAGGGCTAGAGCCCCATCATAAAGGCCTAAATCACAAGCGATAGATAAGCTTCTTGTATGCCTCGAATTTTATTAGTGAATCGAGCTATAAAGCCAGAGAGTGTCTTTTCCTCCTCTTGCTTGAGTTGGAGTAGCATTATCACTAATGGCATCATGCGCATATTCTCAAGTAGAGCTCAAACTCTTTTGTGAGCTAAGCAAATGAGTCAACTGAGAGTGGCTTCAAGTGAGAGTACCATTCTCGTGCTATACCTCTTAGCATTATTAGAAAGGTGCGACACATCGGAGCGTTTGAGGTGCCATACAACGACATCTAAGCATGAAGGGTGGTGGTGTGCTCCATCGGGTCAGTATTATTATTAAAGGCCTTCGGTAATGGGAGGTGGAAGTTCATTGGGATTGGCTCCTCCTGGATGTTCTGAATGAATAAGGATCGAACCAAGGTGGGATCGACTAAACTCTCCCCTCTGGATTATTGGAACTCTTATTATATCTTGTTTAAGTATTGGTCCATTTGCTATAGCTAGATTCTTAATGAGTCATCAATCGAATTCACTGATTGAGTCTCAAATTCAGGCAGAGCAAAGCGAAGGTGCGGTAGTGCGCTAATATTATATAGTTGGAGAGCGGGGCACTCCTTCGACCAATAGTTCCATAGGCCTTGAGCAATCCTAAGATACCGGCATCACGTCGGTTGGGAGAATCCCAACAACACTAGTGCCAATGGTAGTTGAGGCATTAATTGCGGCCGAGATGGTGGTATCGCTTATTAGGTTAGGAGAGGTAGGAGCAAGCCGATAGCTTACATCATGCCCATCAGCGTCCGTACCTGTTGGATGAGGTTTAAGAACACCTCGACGGGGATGAGTAGATGGCTCAAGTTCGCCCATAGGGGTGAGAAGCTTGGGTCATTGAATAGATGCCAGTATTATGTCGATGTTTGTGCTGAAGTGGACGCATCCACATGTGGGAAGGATGGTAGCTGCCCCCCGAGTAAAAGTGCTATGAGTTGGAGGTAGAGCCTCTTCGCTGGAGCATTCATTCCTACGATATTAGACCCTCTTTCTAGTGGCAAAATGTTAGATGATTTCGTCGTCGATGTTTGAGTCAATCCGACGTGGTCTAAACTAAAGGATGCAAGAATGTTTGAAGTGGTAACTAAGGTGTACTCTAAGGTGGCCTCGAGATGGCTCCGAGTTGGAGGTGTCGATCTAAGGTGCTACCTGCACTAAGATTGATGTTGGGAGAGATTTTTTGACCCAATCCCTTTAACACTCAAGTTACTAATCGAGGTCTTTAGTGGGTAAGAGTTTTTCTTGGGAAGAGCAACTCTCAACATAATGTTAATGGTTAGTTTTTATACTTATCTAGAGGGGACAACTTCTCAATATTCTCTTTTTTGGTGTTTTGTCTATGTGGATTACAAGGGAGAGAGTTCCAAACAATATATTTTAGACTATTGTCCGTAAGAGGATGATTTGAATATTTCTCTTTTACGTGATAATTATGTGTCATCATTGTCCGTTAATATATTCTCTATCAATATGCAAATCCAAAATCATTATATTTATTTGAGTATTAATCGGATTGTTTGTGTCAAGTTCTTAAACCCAAAACCGATTTATATGTTAGTCCTAAAGTTGATGACGGAAACCCAAAGACGACGCAGAACCAACCCGAACCCGTTTACCGCTCTCATATCGTGCCTGGCGGGTCGGGTCGGGTCAAGAATTGTCTCTTTACCTGCGTAATCCATGAATCCTTCGCCGCCGTTCCAACGTCCCAACTTAAACCCTAATCACAATTTATATCCTCGGAGTCGTTTGGTCCATCTCCGTCTCCCTGCGAGGCCACCTCGAATTTACGAGCTATGAAGCGGAAGGATGCGGCGGAACTCCCGCTTCCACCCGGCGACGGCGATGACGAAGGTGAAGAAGAGGAGATATCCCAGCCCGTCCTCAATCTCGGCCGAGGCTCCGACGTGTGCAAGGCTCTCATGGACCGGTACACCAAGTCCTCCGCCCCGCAGCACCGTCACCTTTGCGCGTCCGCCGCCGCCATGCGTTCCATTCTCCAGGAGGAAGGCCTTCCCCTCACACCTCCTGGCTACTTCGCGGCAGTCATCACCGCCATCCGCGACGCCGACACCGCCGACCATGACGCTATTTCTGCCCTCTCTGCCTTCCTTTCTATCCTTCTACCGGTCGTCCCTGCCGGGTCCCTGCCTCCGACAATGGTCAAAAACGCGGCCCTCGTTCTTGCCACTTTCTTGTGGGACCCGCCCAGTAAGCTGCCTACTGGGGCAGTACGGTCCATGGTTAAGTCGCTTGGTGGCTTGGTGCTCCGTCTTGAATTGGAGGACTGGGACGAGGTCAAATTGCCTGTGGAAGTCCTTCTGGCGTTCACCGTGGACAAACGCCCAAAGGTAACAACTTCTGTTGCAATTTTGATCGATTAAGTTTCTTGTGTAATTGTTCAGGGATATGCTTTCAAGTGGTTTTGAATACTCCAAGTTGTTATTACACCTTTATTAATTTCATGAATAGTTGTTCTTGTATTGGTTTCACATAGTAAACAATGAATTCAATAGTAAATCAGAAAAATGCCAGACTTGTGGCGTGACATTAAAAAAGGAGGTTGCATAAAACACTTGGAATGATGTAAGTCACATCTGACACGTTACTGTATTTGTGAGTTTCAGCAAGGGATGAAAATTGATTAGATATAATTTGGCAAAAGGTATTGGTACCGGAACTTATACAAGTTTGTCTAGATACTGTGACTTGTATTTATTCATACTTTTACCAATTGGATAATAATCATATATTAGATATATTATCTATATCTAGGTTTCTTCTTAGTCAGAAAGTTTTTATGTAGGATATTTAAGTATATTTGATGTTTGTTAAATTTATATGGGTTAGGATATAAATTTTATGCTAGTTACATGTATAGTTATTGATTAATGATTTAGGAACTATCTTGTTCAGTTTGTCTTTTGAATGATTTTAGTATTCATTTTTTTGTAAATGTAAGTAATTTCAATATGACATCTTATGTAAGTTTGCTCCACTTACCAAGATTGTCCACTGATATAAAAATGAAGCTAAGTTAAAGTAGAAGAAAATTGGGACAATATGTCTGAATGAAGATTCTTTGCAAGAAAGAAAACTAATCCAATCTTCCTGAGACGGCAACATGCCATTTTTTTATAAAATAATTCTTGCACTTGTGAGACATGCAGACTGCAGAGGTGTGGAATCTTGATTCTCGGGAGTTAATTCTTAAGCCATAATGATTATGATCTTTATCCTTTTCTTATCACATCTATTATCTTCTCTTTTTTATTAGCATGCTTTATCTTCAATCTTCAATAAATCAGTTTAAATTTGAAACAGAATTTTTATTAACAAAAATTATGAGAGGTTTGGTGATCATGCTCGAATCAGTTTAAATTTGAAGCAGGATTTTTCTTAACAAAAAGTATAAGATTATATATCAATTTAATATTTGAACCAATTCAGTTGCATATCTCCAAAAAGAAGTTATAAATTTGAGTTTGACACAAAAATTACAACATGAACAAATTGAAGTTGGAAACTTGCTCTTTTAATTTGTATTTTTAGATTCTTTATTCTTCACTTTCATTGATCAATATGTGATTGATAAGTATACATTTACCTTAGCATCTGCAATTAGTAAACCTGTATCTTAAGTCTTAAGAAACATAGATAAGGAAGTTCACATTGATGAGTTTCATTAAGTAATGTAGGACAAGAAATCTGATATTAATATTGAGATAAGATGAAAGCATGGATGGATAAAAAAAATCAGGATCTGATGATTACTTAATTCTGCTTTCCTGCTGAATCCTGTGCATATATGTTTATCATCTTGATTTTTACCAAAAATTATTTGCAAGTGATTACTGTTTTCTTTGATAAGAACTGTTACCTTTTGTGTTCTCTATGCTTTAGGTGAGGAGATGTGCCCAACTATATGTCAAGAAGGTTTTTGAAACTTTGAAGAGCTCCAGCATCATCAAGAAGGCGAGCAAAGTTGTGTTTTCTTTGTACAAAAAGTACATATCTTTGTTGGAAGAATTCTGCACTCCTGAACTGTTAAATGCACCTGCTTCGAATGAATTGCACAAGACCGAACATTTGGAAATCATCCATATGCTTATCGTTTTGAAACTTATTGCACCAAACCTCTCTGAGAAAGTAAGAATGAAGATCATTTCTGATGTTTATAGGTTCTTGAGGAGTGCTACCTCCTTGCTTACAGGACACATTGTTAGAGTTGTTGATGCATTAATGGAACAAACAGAAGCTAAGATTCTTATTGCTGAGTCAGACGACATCATATCTGCTCTTACATCATATATATCTTCGAGTGAGAAGAATACTCTTGACACCACCGTTTCTGGATTAAAGGCTTTGAGTAATTTGTTGAACAAGCTTCGTGATGTTCAACCCACCATATGGATAGGCAGCTTTCCTGTGATCTTCGTCTCAGTTAAAGGTTTGTTTATCTGCTTCTTATAGTTTTCATTTAATAGTTGACTATTTGTTTGTACTTTAATTGCACTTGATTTGTTTATAAGCTTTAAAATTGGGTTTTGATTGCTATGAATATTTAAGATCAAGGATCAAAGGACCATCCATATAGGTTCGTACTTGTTAGTATTATCTTATCTGTTAGCCCACCGGTATGTGAAGCAGTGAAGCAATCAGTTTAGTCTGATATGGGCTGTACCGCATGACAAGCTCACTCTATCAGGCTTCAGGTGGTAAATTGCTCAATATCGATTGGTATCAGGTGGTAAGCCTTCCACCCGGTGTCCATATTCTTTTTTTTTTTAAATAATAACAATGTTAGACAACGGTTTCATCTCCTCTTGTCTCTTTCCTTTCTCTTTCTTTCTCCTCCGCCTTGTCTTCCTGTGTGGCTGCTGCTTCCTCCCTGGCCATTTCTTTGCTGGCTTCTTATCCTCCCCATTGCATTGCCACTGCATTACTCTCCTTCCCGTTGTGTCACTCTCCTCCTTTGATATGCATTGCCATCCCCTGTTTCTTCATTTGTTCCTCCACCTTCCCTCCTCCCCTGCCTCCTTCGCTTACCCTCTTCCCTGCCTCTTCATCTTCTTCCTGTCCTCCACCTCTTTCGATTCCTCATCGCCCTCCTCATTCTGGGGAATCCTCCTTTGGCTGGACCGTCCTGATCTGCACTGTCCAGTACTGAACTGGTCTGCCAAGGACTGGTATTGGTTCCAGACCAAAATTAGAACCTTTCTTGATATATTAGGGATGAATAATCTTAAGACTGAGTTGTGACTGTCTACATGATTCACTAAGTTGTCATGCATGCATTATCATTAATAGATGATAACTCTTTTGAAGGAAAAATGTAATTGACATTACACTGTTATATAAAACTACCAAAAACAAACAAAAATATGATAGAAAGTGACCTCTGTTCTGGCATCTCTTGGCTCAATCAACAACTGTTTCAAACATATTTACACTTGATATTGCGCAATCTTGAAATAATATCTTTCCAATAGGTGATAGTATGCCTCTTGTATGTGATGCAGCAACTCTTTGGTATATTGGAATTAGCATATTTAATTGGTCATTGGTTTCCATATGCAGCTTGTTGTATGATAGCTTTTGATTATGGTCTTCCTTATCACCCTTTAACACTCCATCTTTTATCCTCGGTTAAAACATAAATAGTTTTATGTTTATGATGCATGCTTATATTTTTCAAAGCAAATAAAAGTATCTTTATTTTACCACAACATCATCCTGATCCATCAGCTGGATAGAATAAATCTTTGAAAGTGGATAATGTTTCCTTTACTTGTTCTTTCTGCTAAGGTTTTGAATATCGTACCATACCAGTGTACCGAGCTTTGCTCGGTATGGTACGATACCACGTACTAAGCGGTAAGCTAAAGCGTACCGATCGGTATGCCTAAAATAGGCATAAAACCCTCTGAAAATATCTGAAAAATAGAAAATAAATTTAGGATAAGGTTTTTAAATTAGAAATAAATATACATTTAGTATAGTTTAGGAAAACTAATGTAAATTAAGTAGTGTCACATATTTTTTTTGGGCTTTGAGGAGTAGCCTTGTGCAAGGTTCACAATTTCGGTTCGTTCTGGATCGTCCTTATGTTAATATTGAAGTATCTATAGAAAAATTATTTGAATTGTTAGATTATTTTGTATACGACTTAAATTTTAAGATTCAAATGAATTAAGTAATTATATGTGTAGATATACTTGATTATACTATCGAACGACGAGCCTCCACTGGTGGTGGATCGGGGTCCACGATCCTATGTATCTGTATATTAATATGATATGTTTGTTGGACCCAATCCTGAAATTGATCCCACGACATAGTGTATTGATACACCGCATGCCATTGGTGTATCGATGTGGTGATAATCGTAGGTTAATCGTTATGAGTTGGAGAGAGTTTAAGAGAGAGCGGGAGAAATGGATTGAAACAGGGGAGAGGAAAGGATTTAAAAACCCTTAAGGAGGTCTCCAACGGTCAAATTGACCATTGGAACATTGTTACAGATGGTAACGATTGATTTTCAATCGTTATCGCCCGGTATAGCCTCGTATCGCTCGATATGGGGCCAAATCGTTGGTACCGCCCGGTAGTGAGTGGTCCACGTATCGGCCTGCTGGCAGATCGGTATGTACCACCTGGACTGGGCAGTATGGTACGGTTTTGCAATCCTTGCTTTTTGCCGTCTTCCAAAATCCTTCTCTCTTGTATTATCTTATTATGGGGTGTTTAATCATGGTAATTCTTCTCTCTTGTATTATCTTATTATGGGGTGTTTAATCATGGTGATATAACTGACTGCTATTAAAGGCAAGGAGTGTATTGGATTGGAAGTTTATTTCAGTTATGCAAAGGTATTGGAATGATGACATCAAATTTTATATATTTTGACATTCAAATTTCAAATAATGCAAACAATTTGTATCATCTGAAGTAGCTTTCACTACATCGAAGGAGCATGCAACGGTCATCCATCATAGAATCATATTCTATAATTCAAACTCGGGACAATCATTTACTCTTCCTACTTGATACCCTGTGGTCAAATTCATTGAATATCATTTTGTTGCTTGTTTTACTGACTTATTTGTAGTCTCATGTGTTGTTGTTTATGCCCATTCTAGTTTTCTTCTTTTGGAACTAAAAGAAAGTTTACAACTGTGGTTGAACTTTAATATTTTACCTATTTAATCTGCTCTTTATGATTGTAAATTTGACTAGATATGAAACTTATATTGCAATAAGGTTTTGTCTATTTTCTTTGGGTTATTTAACTCATCTTTAAGTAATTTTGACTTATTATTGGGAAGCTTGGCAGGATATCTGGTTGCTGATGGTAATCCCTCCGAAGCTGTTGCAGAAGTCTTGAAAGACTTGATTAATGTTCATATTGACCTGAAGCTTTCTATGACTGGTGCAAGCAAGTTATGCAATAATGATGAAGATGATAACCCTGTGACAAGTGCAATTGTAAATCTCTGTTCTGTATTCAGCAATATGCTCAACACTTGCAAATCCCCTACTGAACCTATGTTGGATGTCATTTCAGCTTTATTCCTCAGGCTTGGTATGTTCTTTCATCAGTTTTTGCCAAAATGTGCTTCATTTAAATTTACGACTGCTGATATTCATTGAAAGTTAAACATTATAGTGCTCTGCATTTCATGTTCATTTCTTGGTATTTATTAACCCTTTATTTCTTTGTGGTGATTGCAAAAAGAAATTCTTGCATTTTCAGACTGTATATATACACAAAAAATGCCTATGTAAATGGTTCAAGTAAATATGATTACACATGGGCATTTATGTATCAACATAGGAGTGTATACTGAAGAAAAATAATTAAATGTGCAAAGTAGCTGATTTCTTGAGGATTTATGATGGCTCATGGTGCAAGAAAAAAATGTTGAACTTTACTCAGTATTAGATGGTTATTAAAATGCTGAAGTTCTCTTTTATGCAAATGATCTCAGATTTCTTTGATTGAGATGCCTTAGTCATGGGAAGAAGGGTAATGATTCCAAGGTTTTTAATTTTGTATCGTATTGACATACTGAGCGGTACGCCTAAAATAGGCATAAAACTCTCTGAAAATACCTGAAAATAGAAAAAAAAAGTTAGGATAGAGTTTTTAAGTTGGAAATAAATATACATTTAGTATAGTTTTATCAAAACTAATGTAAATTAGGTAAGAATAGTGCCACATATCTTTTTCGGGCTTTGAAGAGCAGCCTTATGCAAGGTTTACAGTTTCGATTCATTACGGATCGTCCTTCCATTAATATTGAATTATCTACAGAAAAATTATTTGAATTGTTAGATTATTTTGTATACAACTTAAACTTTAAGATTCAAATAAATTAAGTAATAAATGTGTAGATATACCTGATTCTATCATCAAAACGAATGATGGGCCTCCAAGGGTGGTAGATCGGGGTCCTCGATCTTATGTATTTGTAAATGAATATGATATATTTGTCAGACCTAATCTTGAAATTAATCCCACGACATAGTGCATTGATATACTGTATGCCATTGGTGCATCAATGTAGTGATGGTCATAGGTTGATCATCGTGAATCATGTGTCTAAGGTGGCACAAGTCGGTAATGGTCGAAATCGGTCAGTACCGCCTGGTACAGGTTGGTAACAGTTGAAGTTTCGATTGTTACTTCTCGGTACAGCCCTGTATCAACTGATACGGGGCCAAAAATCTGGTACTATCGGTAACGGGCGGTTCACGTGTCGATAGGCTAGCGGACCGGTATGTACCGCCCGTATCGAGCAGTACGATACGAAATTAAAAACCTTGCATGATTCTATTAGTGACTTAAGCTACTATGACCCAGTGATTTCAATAGGAGCTCAGGCGAGACGAGGCGAGGCCCGAGTGCCTCGCTTCATTTCCAAGCTGTGCGCTTCAAAGAGGCGCCGCTTGGTTGCTCGCCTGAGCCCAGACGCCGGGCGCTTCGGGCGAGTGCTCGAGTTAAACCAGGCAATCGAACCAGCGTTTTAGGTCTGGTTAGGTCTCTGATGCTTTAGTTGGTTCAATCGAACCAACTAAAGCACCGATATCAGCCTTCCTCTTGCGACTTCCCAACCCTAACCCTGCTCGTCGCTCTCGCTCTCACTGTCGTCGCTACCGCTGCCACTGTCGCCGCTCCCCACTCCCGCTCCCGTTGCCACTGTCGCCGCTCCCGCTGCCGCTGCTTACCGCTCTTGCTACCATCGCTCGCCGCTCCTGCTACCGTTGTCGCCGCTCTGTCACGGACAAACTTTGAAACAGGGTGTTTGATGTAATGCTTATGTATGTCCGTGTCTGTTGGCATGTTCATGCCTTGTACAGAATGTAGAGGGGCAGCCGAAGGCTTATAAGTCCCATTTT